TGGTTGAGATATGAAATACATGTTTGAGACGATTCTGATAGTTATATTATTATATACACAACATATTTCAGGTCATATATTGTATGAGATACTGGTTATTAAGAATACAATTTTTGTTGCTAGTTAAAAATATAAATACTTAGTAGTTACACTTAAGCTTGTCGACTCAGTAAATAATTTCTGCGCAGAAAAGTAGATTTTGTTTTTAAAGTTTAATTATATTTCCTTCATGTAAAGAATTAAAGAGTGGGATTATATGTTATTGCTTATAATAGGCACTATTATTAACATACTAATATTATATATATATTTATTTTTTTTTTGGCAATGAAATAAACATTATACGTTGAAATAAGAGCTGGTATATGTACTTTGTTAGGATTTTTCTTTTAATCGATAATTGATTTTATTATTTTTTAGTTAAGTATACAACGTTTTGAAAATTTATTATTTCTGTAGTAAGAAATATCTTTAAAAATACATGAAGTTATAATTTATCCCTAAATATATATACAAAATGTATAATGTATCACATTATATATGTTTTTGGAAATATATAAAATTGTATGTAGAGTTGAAAATTCTATAAAAAAATTATATTCTATTATATTGCGTATAATTCTATATATACAAAATTTAAAAGCAATAATACATAAACATATATTTGCTTCAATTACTGGCTAATTGCCAGCAGTAGCGATATCATTTTGTCTTTTATGGTTTTAATTCCAAATATTTAAATATACATGTAATTGCAGTAATCATATTAATAAAATTTATGAAATGGTAAAAAATTTTAAATACCGGGAATTGTATAAATTAGACTTCATAAATTTTATGTTGGCACAAAGTAAAGAGAATATTTTGCCAATAATTAGATATGTGGTTAAAAAAGATTGCCAAACCTTATTGCGTGCCAAAAAAAAAATCTAAGTAATTTGCTTTATTTGAAATCCAGCAGATGTTTCGAAGGGAATATATGTATTTATATGTAGAATAATATAAATACGTTATATTTTCAATGTTAAGCAATAATTTACGTTGATAACGACGTAAGTTGGTAAACTGTCTACGTTGCCGAAAAGTATAAAAAGCTTTTAGGGGCATTAATAAATAATTCACTAATTGCGGTAGTTAAAGTTTGTGCGTTAAAAATCTATTTTTCTTTTATACTTTTGGTCTCAATTATAGTTTACAACTAAAGCAATAATATTTATTCATTTACTTTGTTAAATTATTTTTACTCTAAGAATTTTATTTTTAATTTTATACTAACACTATGTTTAAATTAATAAACTAGCAAATGTAAAATATTCTACTTAGATGGCAAAATATCCCAAAAAATTAAAAAATCGTCGATATTAGTAAAGATAATAAATAAAATAGTAAAATTTTAATCCAAAAGTCTTCAATATATTTTTTAAAAATCTTGTAATCTTGAGGTTATCAGTATATAAAAAAAGCAAAAGTCCAGTACTACATGCACGGGTTCCAAATTGAAAATCTATGCTGTGAGAGTAAAATAAAATCAATTAACTTTATTGATCCAAGACAAATTTTAGATAGTCCTATAAAAAACTAAGTATATAAATTTTACATTATTTAGAACAATAATAGCACAAACTATTTTAGGGTGACTTTTTTCTATTATTTTTAGTAAGTTATAGTTTACTTTGACCTTTACCTAAAAAATATTTAATTCTTATCTTTCTTTTGTATTTTTAGCCGTAAAGTTAATTTATATCTTTGTTTTATGTTTCCCTTTCAATACCATAACACTCAAAGCAAAGAAATTCGAGAAATATGTCAATTAAACTTTGGCTAATAGAAATAGCTGTGTGCGTGTTAAAAATAAATGTAAATAAATATTTACTTGACCACCTTTGGAAAAACTTTAACAAAAGGCTACCTTATATATATAAATATATGTCTACATATATAAACAAATCCATATTAGTGGAAACAGTGTCGGTAAAATGTATGTAGTTTGTCTTTGGTGTAATTTTGTTGTGTCACAATACGATAAACTGACATCTACACACCCTTTGTTATTAGAAGTAAGAATTATAGGAACATGAATTTCTTGCAGAGATATTCCTGCTTTTAAATAAAGTGCATTAGCCTACTTATGTCGTACACAACTAAAAGACATTTGTACTATACAATCAAACTAGTTGTTTGACCTTTGACGCAATTTATTTGTTGTCAATACTTCAAGGTGCAGCGGAAGTATACTAATTTTTCTTCTTGCTATACAATCCCATAACAAGAAAACCCCATAACAGGCTAGTAAAATAGACTACTTAAAACTTACCTTCTTATCCTGGTTTAGTTGAATACCATATGCAGGTACATTGCCATTAGCCTCCCTACCAGCTGTTGGAATAGGTGTTGGTGGTGGTGTTAATAGTGTTGTTGGCACAATTGGTTTGTTTGCAATCTTTTCTGGCACGAAACTAAATTCGTAATCATCAGTGCCACCCCAACTGGTCAGACAATTATTTTTGTCAATGTAAGTGTTTATATCTTTTTTTGAAACCATTTTCAAAATTTCCAATGCTTTTGCTGGTAGAAGGCCTTTAATTAGTTTAAAAGCAGCTTCAGAAAAGAAATAGTTAATATTAATAAGATAAAAAATTATAATAACAAAAAAAAAACACTTACCATTCAACACCCAAGCCATTTCAAAAATTAATATGTAATTTAAAGTATTTGGATAATATTGCTTAAATGTATCAATAATTCGTTTAACAAAATCTAAATCCATGTTTCCTAATCCTGTGCCTGCCATATCAAAAACAGCTGTAATTTTTTCCATATTCGTTTCACGATGAATGCGTTCAATCCAATAAACAACAACTCGATTTACTTCCTCCATGTCCTTTGAACCCTTAACATGCAATTTTGTTTTGAATATAAGTAAGGGCTTGCCATCGATATCTTTATTTCTGGAGAATATAACACCATCATTTAGATAGTCAGCGCGTAAATTTTTTTCACTGAGATCATTTGCACCATATGATTGACGCCAAATACAGGTGGTCCAAAGTTTATCAAATGCAGTTGGCATATCCAAATCATACATTTCTAAGAAACGTGTACACCACAGATCAGCATTCTTGACACGATCTAAGTCAACTGGATGAAATGGTACTGAAAGCAAAAAAAAAAAAAACGCTTAAATATTGTGCTTTTTATAGTTAAAATAGTAAAAATTAAATAAAAATAGTTAAATAAATAATGGAAGTTTGTAATAAATTTAATTTATAACGAGGTTTTTCGGAAAGTAGTAAAGTACAACACCAAAAATATATTTTTATATTATTTTAATTAATTGAATTTTTGGCTGACCATACAGCTGTTTCGAGTATTGCCAAATACCCAACGTCAGTGGTGTTGGAAATAATTTTTGTATTTAATTATTCGTAAATAAATTATTTGAGAATGCAAATACCAGTGATTGAATTCGTGCCCTGCCAAATTTGAAGCTCAGAGTCAGCGCTCTTTAATCAACTGACCTAAAGCCGCACTTGACTTTCAAAGTCGCACATTTTTCTGGAGTTTTGTTAATTTGCTTTGAAAGTTTTATTAACAAATTCACTTTCTGTATTTTATATTAGAACAAAATCATAAACCAGCTGTAGAATAATTTAATTAAATAAATATTTTTTTATTGTTAATTGTTAAATTTCAATACTATTCTATTAGTCATTACTAATCATCATTAATTGCACCTTTTATGCAAGAACTTCGATTTAATATTTTATTGAACAAAGTTCATATTTAATGCAAAATTTTCAAAATATTATCAATTTCTTGATAACTATTGAATGTTAGCTAATATCGTTAAAGTGTATTGTTAAACAATGCATTTATTACAAAAAGGGAAGGTTAAACAGTGATTTGGTATACAAAGTGAATGATAAATAAAAATGGAAAACCCTTTAAAAAATATTTAAATTATTTTTGAAGTGGTACAAAAATCAACTGTCTATATAATCTAATATATATAATATATATAATAATATAGTCTAAATAATATAATACATAAACTGATACAATTTTTGAACTGTCTATATAATCAAGTAGCAAAAATCAACAGACATATTTAAACTCAGCATTTTTTGGAGTTACAAACTAATTTGTTTTATGCAGAAATGCCTTGCTCGGCAATATATGCTGAATTGTTTATTAAATATCAAAAATAATTTTAATAAAAATATTTGTTTTTAAAATTAATTAAAAAATTTTAGATAATGTCTAGAAATTTAATTGTTCTTGAAATCTTCAACATAGTTAATGGTTTTTAATTAAAATTCTGCTGACAGAATATATTATTCATTTTTTTGGTTCATTTATATCTTAAATAAGCGATCTTTGAGTTATTAATAATATACTTTTATTTAAATGTTTTAAGTATTTTATATAAGTAAACAAATTATTTTTCATTTCTTTCATTAAAGGAAATTTCTTGTTGTAATAGGTTAACCAATATGTCAATGATATTGTTACACTAGTAAATTTTCTAGTGAAGTTAGTAAAAAAAATTCTGGAACTTTAACTGCAGATTTGTTGTTGTTGTAACCCGTAGATTTTCTACCCAAGGTAGAAAATATGAAAGGAATTACAAATACGTATACATGGGTTGGGTAAAGGTAGAGTGAGAATAAGAAGAGATTGTTTCGGACAAGGAATAAATGAGGAACTGGGTGAGTTTTAATTGAAAATAGCCTGCGTCGGGGCGAAGAAATCTAGCAACTTTCCTGGATTACAGCTAAATATCAATAATGTTCAAAATTGTGTGTGCATTACGACCAGAGAACAGAGAACGACCAGAGATTACTTTCTCCATAATATTGCATAGTTCATATAATTATATAGATTAATTATATTGATAATTAATTATTCTTTATACGGTAATGATATTTTTTTAACTTACTTTTAAACATCAAATTTAAATGTTAAATTTCAAATGTTAATAACAATTTAGACCTTTTCATTCTTTACTGCAGATAAGATTATTGGATTAAAAATTGTTGTTATTATGGTCAGTCTGATTAAGACAATAAATATTACAAAATTCAAGTACATTTCTGATTAAATAATATGTTAGGAAAATATAAAAATATTCTTATAATAATTCTTACTGGCTTCTAATAAATCATAATAGAACATAATTATACCTTTGATGTTTAATGGTAATTATAGTGAATAACAATAGCATGTTGGTATTGCAGATTAGCTTTTTGTGATTTTAAAAATCAAATTATAAATCATTTCGGTATAATATAATAACCTAATATGTCTGAACATATTTTCTCGGGAGGTTATACATTTCTATAATGAAAGACAAGAAACCGTGGACAATATTTTAAAAATTTTTTACGTATAATATATGAGAGATCAGTTTTTATGGAACTAATTATAATAAAACCGTTTAGTACAAATCCGCTAATATGCTATTTTGCATAATTTATATTTTAATAATAATCTTTTATTCAGATCGCATATACATAAAAAACTAAAGTCCAGTACTCGAACAAGAAAATATACAGTTGACTTTTGTTCTTCCCAAATTTAGATTTATTAACAGTTAAAGAAAAAAAATTGTTTTTAATCTGAAACTAAATATTATTGTAGATATCTTAAGGAATGTGCTAAAAGCTAAGTGCAAATAGATTAAATTATATTTATACACATATCAACTTGTATTTATATAGCAAATAATTGAAAGACACTAACATTTGAGGAAAAGAGAAAAATAATTTTATGTGATGTAAATTTTAAGGGGTTCGCTTAATATAACTTTTGACTCTGTACTAAAAGTTAATTTATGTATTACAATTAGTGTATATAATAGATAAATAGCTAAGTTATATTTTTTTTGTGTGTGAATTTAAATTTTATCACAGTCTTGTATGGGTAATAAAATGTGAACTTTTGCATAGGCTGTAGGTCACATAAACTGTCTTTAATTTTTCAAAATAATTTTATTCTGTAATTCATTCAAAAAAAGTGCTCGTAAGTGTTACAATGAAAAAAATTTATTGTGTAATAATAAAGAAAAAAAATAAAACAAATTAAAATTTAGGTTGTTAAGGTTCATAGTTTTTAAATTACATTTACAGGAGATATATAAAAGTATTTAAATACAGAAATTTCAAAATTTCTGTATGTAAATTGTAATTATCAAATGCACAAACATCTTATAATAATATATAACTTAACCTGATTTCACGAAAGTATTCAGAGGACTGCTAAACGTTAATCGTAAATGTTTAGCAGTCATTTTTTTCAGTTATAAACTTAAAAGAATTTAAATCTCTGTCAGATCATATTATAGCATCATATAAGTTCAATTTGAATATTTTTGTATATGGCAAGGCTGCCGAGATGATAATTTTTATCATATAATCAAATGCATATATCAAGAATAAGTGGGTTTAGGTTACACATAAATATTGTTAAAACTGCAAATATATAAAAAATTCATCTAAAAAGCCAACAAAAGGATATTATTTTGTAAGATCGTTGGACTGCTCTGGCTATTTGAGTAAGATAAGCTTCAGACAAATGATTTTAACGCAATAAAAATCTTACAACTTATTAGGAATAAAATTTAGTATTAGAAAATACGCTAATTTTTCTGTTTTAAATTTAAAAATTAAGTTAATTAAAAATTAATAAATTTATTTACATTCTAATTTACGTTTAAAGGCAAGCGTTAAAATAGCAAAAAAAATATAATCTATATCTTTCACAAACAGTAAAAAACAGTAAACGGGTCGTAAAGGGACAATTTTAGATGGTAAAACCGTTAAAGTCGTTATGTGTACATAAAACCAAGAAAAGAATATTTGATTTGTATTATCATTGCCACGGAAAGATTCTAGGTCTAACAAAGATGTGCTGACGGGTCACATTTTAGTAACGGCAAGCGTATACAAGATATTAATTGCTATTAGTCATACATATTAGTTCCTGCATACATAGTTAGGGAGTTAGTAAAGTGCTTTATTAAATGACAGAAAAAAAGTTAGTCACTAATAGTATATATGTTGAAAAATATATATGTACTAGCATAAAATTACGAAAACCAACACCTCGTTATCGAATCTTAAAATGGTTACAGGCTACTCGGGGATGTTTGCAGATCTGAGGTCAATTATTGCTTAGTTTGATGAAGTGATAAACAATAATTCAGTTAAGCCGTAGATAAGGGTTATGAAGAAACCTCGCTGTTAATAGAGAGTAAAAGTGCTAAAATGCACTGAAAAAACTAGCCTCAAAATAATAATAATAATAAAATTAAATACGGCGATACTTTAATTTTAATTTATTAATATATAAATTTATTTAATTGATATTTATTAATTTATTAATTAAAATTACACCATAATTTTCAATGTGTTTAAATGTTTTAATACAGTACTGTTTTATCATTAACCATTGATTTTTATTATAATAATTATTTAAAAATTATGGAGGACTGCTTTTCAATTCTTTTCAAAACTTCTGCTTTGAATATATTTATAACTATTTTTATTAAACTTTTAATTAAATCTACAAATATATAAGATTCTTATAACCCGTTTTCTTTTCAATGTTCCAAACATAATTATTATAGATCATTATTAAATTATCATCTGCTTGACAATTAACTGCATTAAAAAACGGTGCAGCAGCAATTTCAAGGTTGTCATTTTCAATAGCGATAATTTTTTAATATCTTCCGATATTTTTGTTTATTTTTTTAATAAAATACAGTGTAAATAAATGACTCAAGTCGAGAGTACTTTATATAAAATGAATAAAAAATGTAAAAACTGCTTTTATTGTTTATTGTTAAACGTGCACTGCAAAACGTCTAAATGTTATTTTAAACTAAATTGAAGAGTAATTCTAAAAACGCAACACAACAACTGAAAAATTGCATTTTATGATTATTTATTTATTATATTTAATAGGCAAAGTTCATATTTCTTTAGAAATGCAATTAACACCTTCACTAATTTTTTATTTAATGTTAATTACTCACCTGCTGGCGGATCATTTTCTAATTTCTTTAAGAAAAGATTGCGCAGCTCATCAATTTGTGCTTGGCTTGGAGTTTGAGTTTTGATAGGCATTTCTGAACAAAAGGAAAATTGACGAAACGATTTGTAACAAATTTTTACACACAAAAAATTTAATTAATCTTTTCTACTTCCTATTTCAATAAATTCAAAGTTTGCTTGTTTTTTTTTCTTATTTTCTAAAAGCGAAAACAAGTACAAAGCACTTTCACACGTTCAATTTGTTACCGAAACTGAATTTTTGATTAGCAAAGAACGAACGAATGCAGGCAAAATTAAATCAGCGAGAAAAACATCGAAAAAAAACTTCACTTATCTTATCATTCCCTTTCTGCTGATTACCGTAATCCGATCGACAAAAATACAATTTTTTTTGATGCGCTATTATCGCACATTAGAACTAATCAAAAATCCCATCGGCCCATGTACGTATTTACACCGCGAACATATGTTCAAGACTAACGGGTGCGCGCAAAAAAAAGACAACAGCACATAAACACAATACGACTACGAAATTTTTATTTGGAAAAATTTCGAAAATAGATCAAACGTTACGAATAGGTCGCGGTTGTTTCGAAGGAACGTCTATTGAATTTAAATTAGAATTGAACGAAATTTATTGCGAGTAGCAGTAATTGACAGCAATGCACGACTACGATTGCGTGTTGGCGCTGAGTTGGGTGTTTGACTTGGGAAACAAAATATTGAGTGATCATGCGGGAGCTCACCTACTAATAAATGAGAATTTATTTTAGGGGTACATATAGGCAATGAGCCCTAAAGCATTCATTATGTGAAAATTAGTTCAAATGATTCTGGAAGAAAAGTGCTGTTCACAACAACTCATTACTTTCGAACATGAAACATATAAAAGTGGAGTTTATATATAATGTTAAAATTAAAATTTTAAAACGATGGAAAAGAATTTGATTTCATATTATATCAAAAAGGTTTGCTATAATTAAAAGGCATATTAGTTCTGTTCCACGAGTAACATTGAGTAAGACCGTGTATAGACAAGTGCGTTCCACCAACAAACTTTCTAGTAAATGAGAGCATCTGAGACAGCGTAACATCTCTGTTGAAATTTGAAAATGCTATACAGACTTTACTCATACATTTTATTTCAAGTAAAATTTGTGTGATGTGTCAATCAGCTGTTTTGGTTTGAATTTGAATTTATTTATTTGTGCGGCACTGGTGTTTTCACCAGATTTAACACAATGCTGTTCCCACGGTTGCCACTTGAAAATTTTTTTCTGTACCAAAATTGGTTTAAAAAGGTACCATTTCTGTAAAAAAAGGTCCAAAATTTTTCTATTGTCTTTTTATAAGAAAATACAATTTATATAAAATGTACAAAAAATATAAAACAATACAATATCCACAATAAAGTTGGGTCGTCGAAAATGTACCATTTTTTGAACATGAGTACCAGAGTACCAAACGGAAAAAAAAGTACCAATTTTGGTACTAAAGTACCATAAGTGGCAACCGTGGCTGTTCCATGAAAATTTGAGTAAAGAGAGAAATTTGGCACTTTATTTGTATTACGCTCTCAGTTTGTACTTTACTTGTGTTTTACTGCGAGTAGCTCGTAGAAGAGACCTAATGATAGTGAGATTTGTATCACTGGTCAAAAGAAATTTTTTTCAAAACTAAACAAAATATTGCTGTAAATTATGTTTTTTTTTACCTCTCGTATTCAGACGAGAGTTTTGTTTGTAGTTTCAGCTGTCAAAAATTTTCATTTTGCATTGCAAGCAATTACAAATGACAGCTAAAATCACAAACAAAACTCTCGTGTGAATCCAGTATAAAACTAAAATTATTTCTGTGGTGTAAACAGATTCTTATATCAGATTTCTCATTTTATAAATAAATTTAAATAAATTTTAGTTTTATAAAACTAAATTAAATTTTAGAATGTACATGAACTAAGCAAAACTCACTTCACAAAATAAGATATCCCAAGGGATTTTTTGGCGCTATATAAATTAATAACATATAAATATGTAACTAAAATTTATTTTTATTTATTAATTCATTAGTTTAGTTTATTAAATAAAAAATAGGGTTTTTAATTTGCTTCTTATTACCTTTGTATTCTACGGCTTGTATTATATAACAGCAGTAAATGATTTATTAAATTACTCATGAAAATACTAAACGGATAACACTAAGTCCGATTGAAAAATATTCGTATATTCGTAGTTTTTATTGTTCTCTTAAATGAGTTATTTAGATTAATTTAGGCATTTGATTTCGTAACTTAGGGAACAATTTATTGTTTCTAAACTGAGAAAATAATGATTGAAACAAATTTGTTTTTAAACCAAAATATTTGTTTAACTCTTTATATATTTAAAAAAGTATAATTATGTTTACATATTATTATTTATTATGTATGGTATATAATGAAATACATTTGATATTGCATTTGTGGGTGCGTAGCAGACAATATATAATTATGGGTTGCATATATTATTAAAAACAAAATTTGAATATATAAACCTTTTAGAATTTAAATAGGTTATACAAATTGATCTATAAATATGTAGGATTGTGGGAAATTGGAAATATAGGCTAAATGCGTTACAATAAATGCAGTAGACATTTAATTAAAAAAATTTTGAATTCTATTTTATCTTATAATTTGGGTTTGTTGAAAATTATTACAATTTTTGCCTTACAAATACATAAAATCTCATATTGTGTGTACTTCACCTATTAAAAATTTATAATTTAAATAGCTAGAGTTTTTTTCAAATACATATCTAAAAATGATTTGAACGCATACAGTCAGCTGCAGGTTAGACAAATGCTACGCTGCGTGTCAAATGCATTGTTTTTTAGGCTTAATAAAATATGTCAGTAGCATTTAAATGCTGTTTAGTTTTATGATGCTTAAAAACTTTGAATAATAGCCTTGAAAATACATAATTATTTAAATATTTACCTACGGAAATATGCTTGATATGTTAGCATTTTTAAAGATTGAATTAAGCATGGTTTTTTTTGTAGATGTGATTTGGTTTTAATAATTAAATTTTTAATGAATTTTTTTTACCGATGTTACGGCAATGTTATACTTAAACTGTACAAGATATTTTGAATGGTTTTTAGATTTTTAAAACACATATTCATATGTGAGTATATCTCTATTTCAGTGCCATATAAATTGCGTATACTGATATATTTATGATAATTATAAATACAATAGTTAATGATTGAGTTCTTATTCTGTAGTAATTTAAATTTAATCTGTTTTTTTTCACACATTAATTTATCCAATTTTATGATTTTGTTCTTAAAAAAACGTTATGTGAATCTATAAAATAAAAGTTTTTAAATTGGTTTTTATTTTATTTTTATATAGTCTAATCTATATACATATCTCCAACGTTTCGAAGCTTATTTGATTTCTTTCTCATGGCACAGTATTGTAACAGCTGCTCTTGGGAACATGTAAGGTAGATCTAGAGTAGACCCAAATAACGCGGCAATAGTAATTAAGGAAAAAACAATAACAAAAGATTAACTTCAGAGAGAGCTCTCACATATTAAGAAATATAGACAGCACCATGAATTGTTTCCTATTGGATAGTGACAACATGACAACATGACAACATTTAAGTAAAATTTTATAATTTTTGTAAGTGCAGTACAAATTTTCTTGAATCAGTAATAAATTATAATAATAAATAATAATATAGTGACACCATTAGCTGTTACTGTTACAATCGACATAAAAATAGATATTCATAAAAAAATAAAGGTCATTATTGTTCTAAATTGTGATCGTTTGTGAAACGATCATATAAATAAGATGGATATTTGTATGTATAAAGTTTATGTAGTTGACAGATGATATATCATATACATATGTTACTTTGTAATTGAGTAAAGGTATTATGTTGTTCTCGATTTTCTCATCTACAATGCTAATCAGTTATCGGGAACGTTACTTCAGACTGCAAATATCACCTAAGTATTTTTTACGTAATGATAATAAAATTTATTTTATCTAGCAACAAGATATCTATAGCTGAGGGTGAATGCTTACTTTTTTTAGTGATTTCATTAAATATTAAATTTTCTGTAAAGCACTACTTTAACATTTTAAACATTTAAATTACACAGAAAATTTTATTTAAAAAACTATTCTTCCAAAAAAATAAGTGTTATATACAATAAGACTTATATGTACATTTGAAAAAGGGAAAAATATATAACTTAAATTTTCAACAATTTTCCCATTGCTAGCTGGATTGATATTAAGAATAATGTTTTAAATTTGGCTGGGCTTTAGGTCGTGGTTTTAAATTTTGTTTTTATATAATAATTTTTATTGCATAAAAACACAAATTTTAAATTAAATAAAATATCACATTTATTACTTGATGTAATATATTTGTTAATTAATAAAATATATTACATCAAGTAATAAATGTGATATTTTATTTAATTTAAAATTTGTGTTTTTATACAATAAAAATTATTATATAAAAACAAAATTTAAAAGCACGACCTAAAGCCCAGCCAAATTTAAAACATAAATATTGAGGTCGACACTAATAAAAACATTCTATTAAGAATATCATTTTATAGAAATAATATCAATATTATGTCTTAATGCAGCTCTTTAATATTTTAAATGTATTACTTATCCGGGACGGCGCGAACGCCATTCCCGACTATCAAAAATTACACGCACGAGTTATTCGCATTAGGAATAATCGCAAAGGTCAACTCAACCGTAGTGCAATGGCCAAGCCTCGCTTCGGGGGAACCGCCTTCTTGATCACGGTAACCCCTACGCCAGGTAAGTATGCTTTCTACCGCTCTATGCCAACTATTTGAACATCAGTAAGACTGAACTTAATGAGAATTAAAATCAAAATCATACGAAACAAACATGTATCTACACATTTTTGATCTTTATATCTTGTTTACGCTTAGTTGTTTGCAGCATTCCGTACAGTGGTGGTTGATGCATTTTATTCTTGCTGCTTGCGTTTTTAGCTATTGTTTCTTTTTCTAGAAATCTGAGGAGTACTGCAAATATTTTTTTAACACATTTTCTATGCGTGATATTTTTACACAAATTTGAAGTAAATACGCTTAAATACAAATTGTAAATGGCATTAAATATACATATAATACATTACAAGAAAATTTGCATTTCTAGCATAGTTGTTGCTTAGAACAGGCATTTTCTAAATCTATATCTAACATATGCTTCTAACAGATATTTCTAACAGAAACACAAGTCATCACATATCAACAATTACAGATAAAGAAGTTGGAGTACCACACAAATCCACTCTGTCACCCATAGTACATAACATTTATACGTGAGATATACTGAGAACAATCTAGTGGTGTTCGCTAATTATACCTGTATCATCAAGTACTAGTACTATAAGTACTACTATTATAAGTACTACTATTATAAGTACTACAAGTACTACTAATTCTGGTAGCATTAAAATTACTAGTACTAGTACTACAAATACAAGTACTACAAGTGGAGATAGACACTTAAAATGTCAACAAAAGATCTAAAATAAGGTATCGGACTATTGTAGGAGCTAGTAAAAATTTATTAGACTATGTTATATTGAGAATTAAGAACTAAGACAATACATGTGATCTAAGCAAGTCTGATATCTATATAAAGAACTATATACTACACATAAATAAAACAACTAAGTTAATATGCTGATACTAACTTCAAGCACATTAGAACACATGAGTTATAATTAACTCATCAACTCATTAACTAATCGAAAATTAAAGATATTTAAGATTAATTTAAAAGTATTTAGGTTTTAAAAGTCCTTTATATATTTTTTAATATTAAAACCGTTACTTTAAAAAGTTCAATTTTATTAACATAGTCCAATAAGCTTTAATCGAAAGTTTCTTAAACTTTTATAAAAATCTTGAATCGTACATCTAAGAAAAATGAAAACTGAAATTCATTGGGAAAGCTCTGCAATAGAAAAGTTTGTGAAACAGTTTTCACTTTCCTTCACCGAGTGTGGTTCTGTTTTGTTTCGAAATGTTGTTGTGTATAATATTTTGGTCTATTTTTATTTTCTGAAAACATTTTACATTTCTTGTAAAATTAAAAGAAGAAATATGAAGTTTGCAGAGCATTTAACGGCGCACATAACGCCAGAATGGCGAAAACAATATATAAATTATGAGGTTTGTGAAACACAGAATTTATAAAAATTAGAAAGTGAAAATGTTGTATATACTGAATATATAGCACATGTGTATATAGTATATATATGACATTGTCAAAATAATGTGACGTCACAGAGCTTTTAAGAGAACTGTCAAATATTGAGCTTTTCAATTTTTTTTCTTTTTTTATTGAGATTTTTCGAAAATAAAAAGCGCATGCGCGAAAAGTTGGCCTTAAATTTTGTTTACAAACAAAAAGTCGGGCATTATTAGCCGGTTTGTTTGTAAACAATCCACAAGTGTTTAAGGAAGAGAGTCAAAAGAATTTGTAAACAAAGAAGTGTGACATTTGTTGATTCATATGGTGGAGTAATGTTATTAATTTGTAAACTGGGAGCTTTGATTATTGTTAGAATTAGAGAGAGTGATAAAGGATGGGTTTAGGATGGCGCGGTAAAAATACAGGATTATGAATATTGAAATGTTATATTAACTTTGTTTCTATATTCGTAAAAAGTGGGTTTGATGGCGGATATACATATGCATATACAGCAGGATCTCAAAGTATTATTCTGTCTCAGCAACTGTTGAGATTTGTTTTAATACATTTTATAATAATTTTTATATATCAATTGTCAGTACGAGAATATTAATTACGAAATAAACCATATACTCGGGTAGTACAGAAATATTTAAAAATTAAAACTATAAAGAATTTAATAACTTTAAACATATGGTTGAAAGAAATTAAATGCAATTCATATGAAACACATTTCATATGAAATACAATATTGTATCAAATAAACTAAAAATTTTATTTATATTATAAAAAGCGTAATGCAAAACTTAGTAAAAGTATGCATTAAAAAGTAAAAGTATAATATTAAATCTACTTGAAAATTAACAAAATCAATAAACAATTCAGTTATTTGATTTAAGTCAAATAATTATTACATAGGGAAATAGGTATAGTTTCTGTAGGTGCTAATTACTCCTGCTCTAATTCTTTGTAGATGCGCATAGTCTTAGGACACGAATGTTTTATGACAAATACTATAATAACGTATTTTAATATTGTTGTATATTTTATAAAAATATACCCGTGTTATTCGGAAATGCATTCAATATACATATGTATATTTGAAATAATTTTTCATTGTATGAAAAAAATTTATTTATTTTGTTTCAAGTGCTATATATGTAAGTATACGATAACGTGCAAAACATTTAAATATTTTTAGTAAAATTTATTTAATCTTACTATACGTATTATATTTAAGGAAATGAAAGCAATGCTTTATGCGGCAGTGGAACAGGCACCTTCTGCAGAACTAGTAGATCCAGAGGTTCTTACACGTTATTTTGCAAAATTCGATGAAGAGTTTTTTCATTATTGTGACAAGGAGTTGGCTAAAATTAATACATTTTATTCAGAAAAAATGGCAGAGGCGACAAGAAAGTATGGAAGTTTACGTAGTGAGTTAACAGAAGCATTAGAAATGGGTCACGTGAAAAAGCAACCAGCTTGGAAGTCCAAAACTCCGCTCGGAAAGAAAAATGTACCTGCGCGTAAAATACATGAACTCAAATTGGCATTTAGTGAATTTTATTTGGGTCTTATATTATTACAAAATTATCAAAATTTGAATTTTACTGGATTTCGCAAAATACTTAAAAAACATGATAAATTATTAAGTGTTGATTTTGGAGCCAAATGGCGTAAGGATAATGTAGAGATAGCACATTTTTATGTTAACAAAGATATCGATCGGATTATACAGGAGACTGAAACTGCATTTACACATGATATTGAACATGGCGATAGACAAAAAGCAATGAAGCGTTTACGTGTACCACCTTTAGGTGAACAACAAAGTCCTTGGACAACATTTAAAGTGGGTCTTTTCTCTGGTGCGTTCGTTGTACTCTTTGTAACTGTAGCTTTATCAGCTATATTTCACGGTTTTGGTGAAGATTGGCATGTTGGGTTACGTATGTTTCGTGGTCCGTTTCTGTTAATTGAATGTCTCTTTTTATGGGGTGTCAATGTATATGGTTGGCGCTCTTCCGGTGTTAATCATGTACTTATTTTTGAATTGGATCCACGTAATCATTTGTCTGAACAGAATATAATGGAAGTGGCCTCGGTATTTGGTGTTATATGGGCGGTATGTGTTTTGTGCTATATATATTGTGATCCCATGGGCATACCACAATACTCAGCACCAATATTTTTATATACTACAATGATTCTATTCCTATTGAATCCAACAAAAACTTTTCATCATGAAGCACGTTACTGGGCTGTACGTGTCTTAAGCCGTGTTGTTATGGCGCCGTTTTTCTTCGTAACATTTGCAGATTTCTGGCTAGCAGATCAGCTAAATAGTATCGTACCTGCATTTTTGGATATACCATTTGTTTTATGTTTTTTCAGTCAAAATCCAACGTGGCATAAAACTGGTGGAAGTAAGTCGAATAAAATATAACATATTTTTTATTTTATATTTTTTTTAATATGTTTGTTTGTCAACTATAGGTGGACGATTTTGTATTGAAGATATATCAATTGCTCGACCTATTGTTGCTATCTTACCAACATACTTTCGTTTTGCGCAATGTATACGTCGTTATCGTGACACTAAGGAAGCCTTTCCACATTTAATGAATGCAGCAAAATATGCAACTTCATTTTTTGTTGTAATTTTTTCATATAAATTTCAAACGACCGGTGGTAAGTAGAAATTCATCAGATACCCACATGCAATATTTTGTATATTTGTGAATACAATTTTATACATTTTCACATAAAAGAAAAATAGGTCACATAGTTGAATAAACGATACCTGTCTAGATTGATGAATGTTGCTTTTTTCTGTGATATATGATTACTATGAAGGTTTGTGTCCCATATCGGCGTAGTATGATTTAGTGTACAAATGTATGAAGCAACATATCTATACGGGTACGTCTGCACATACATCATACATATATGTGTATATTGTGGGTTTACACTGCATGGTCAGCGTCTTATCTAAAGGAACAATAGCTCAGTTTGTCCATTTAATTAAGTTTTGTGTAATTACAATTGCATATAAATTATGTCTCATGATATATGATAATTGCTTAACACAGCGGATACATTCACATGAGTGGATATTAAATTGTTGTGTGGGTTGACAATGTTTTTAATGAGTTTCTATGAGTTCATGTTTACACAAATAATACTACCATATAATAAATTATTAAATTAACTAAATATGATATTGTTTTTGACTTATTTTAATACCTGCATGTAATAAGTTTTATCTTTTCACATAAAAATTTTAGTTTTCATTTAATTCACTCGGTCATTATGTACCGTTTCAATCAAAGTTAATCCCATTAAAATTTTAGATTATTATACCCACTCCAAGGATAATCCTTGGTTCTACTGTTGGATTTTAGCAGCAATCGTCTCGTCGTGCTATGCCTATACGTGGGACATTAAAATGGATTGGGGTTTATTCGATGCGAAAGCAGGTGATAACAAATTCTTGCGAGAGGAAATTGTTTACTCCTCAACGGTAAGTAAAGTTTAAGTAATAAAGTGAATTCCTTTCTAATGTAATTATATCACAGTAATAATGGTATTAAACAGTTTGTGTATTGTGTTTCTATTTTCCTAAATGTACTGTTTAAATTTTTTTTAAATTTTAGTGGTTTTATTATTTTGGTATTATTGAGGATTTAATTTTACGTTTCGCCTGGACAGTATCGATGAGCTTAATCGAAGCTGGTTATATCGAAGGTGATGTTATGGTTACAATTCTAAGTCCTTTGGAAGTATTTAGACGTTTTATTTGGAATTATTTTCGTTTGGAAAATGAACACTTAAATAACTGCGGTAAATTTCGTGCAGTGCGTGATATTTCCGTTGCACCAATGGATTGTTCAGACCAAGTGAGTTTAACTCCTCACGCTACTATTAATTTATTTTGTTTTATTCAACTGTATTGTTGTATTGTTGTATTATTTTCGCTATAACAAATGTACACATTTATTATTTTAAGACTACAATATTACGCATGATGGATGAGGAGGACGGCGTTGTTAATCGCCGTGGTAAAACAAAAACGGCATCTAAAAAGAAGGTCGCCGAACAGAGGCTGTTATTCCAAAGCGAATCTGTTGAAGATTTATGCTCATAAATGCGGTTAATTACTGCAGCAAGGATATGTGTAGGCGGTTGGAAATGTTAATGAAATTGTTTAATGGCTTAAAATATTGCTCATTTGAATTGAATATTGTTGCCTCTGCATGCGGTCATTGCGAATCGCTGTAATGTGAAATTATATTTTTGAGCTAATATCAAGGATACCGCAGATTATACATCAAATGTTTATTGTTCACTTGTAAAATCAAAATAAGCATATCTGAAGCGTATATAAGTAATTGTAATATACCAACATTATTGAATTTTGATGTGCAAATTATATAATATTTTATAAATTCATTTTTTTTTAATTTATTACATTTTGTAAAATAAATACTTCGAAGTGCTCAAATTGTTATTAGATAAAAATCTTAAAGTAATAATAAGCAATGTTATTTTTTAGAAAATATGATATAAATTAATAAATAAAAATTAATTCGAAATTTTTAAAAATGTTTATTTACTTTATTTTATATTTCTTAATATATAATGTTTTAAATCAAAAATGATACCCTCTTTTACATTTATTTTAACATTGTTTTACAATAAATGTTTTGGCAGTATGTCTAGAATATTAATCAAATTTAGTATATTTTTATTATATATATGTATATATGTGAAAATTTAAATGTATTGTTGATGTTTTCCATGAAAAAAATCTACATATTTATTTTAAGGGCTTGGTTTTAATATTAAAATTATAATTTCAAAAAATAAATTTATCTATTTTCAACAAATAATAAGGGATATAATTCCTGTACATTTTAATATATAAGTTAACAACGGATTTACTGGTGTCAGCGGATAATATATTTTTTAATAAATATTATCATATTTATTTTAATATATTATTTAACGTACTTATATCAATTGTAAAACATTAATAATAAAGAATTCGTATGTAACCAATTTCCAGACACTACGTCAGCATAAGATCATATTTCTTTTTGCATTCCTATGCTGAAGTACGTGTCGAACAGCAAAATCAATAAATGCGTTTTCAGTTTTAGAAAAGCGCTTCATAGAAAGCTAACGCGTTTTATTTAATCTTGTGTATAAAGTCTTCATAGAAGACAGGAAAAATTAAATAAAATAACAATTGTACTAAGACAATTGTTAACTTATAAAACGAATAGAAGGGACTGATGTTGAAGGTTGTCGTAAAATATCTAGTGAAAATAATTTTGTTTTCCTAATTAATTTTTAAATAATTTTTACATAAAGTATAAATGTTGTAAAGATTTATATATGATATTTTAATTGATTTAGTATCAATATTAGTAACAATATTATGATTTAGTTAAAAACGGAGCCAGCCGAGTTCTCTAAAAGCGATATTAATAGGTACTGAAGAAACATAAAATACATAGAATCCTTACAGCTAACGTATTTTGTTACATTGTCATGTCATTTGAAATAAGCGCTTCTTTCTAGTATTCGATGCACTTTAAATGGTCCTCAAATAAATAATTTTAATACAAAATATGTGCACAGAAAGTATATATATGACGCGTTTCAAATAAGCAGATTAGCAAAAAACCGATGTACTTTGTTAATACATCATGCTAGGCATATCAAATTTTTTTGCTGGGATGGAGCATTTCTTAGTACTGAAAGTTAACTAAGTAGGAGTTTTATTTTTAATTTGCGTAAGGTTTTTCCTTCTATCACTCATCGTGTGCATGCAATCGTCGTTTTAAGCCTGCAACCTTTTTGTGGTGAAAACGCACAGCACAAATGTGAAAATTGATTATAACTCATTAGTTTTAGAAAATTTGTATACTTTTATCAAAGAAAGAAATAGCTTCAAAAAACTTTAGCTAACAACACATTATAGTGCCTAATATACGATTAAACTATTCTATTTCATTATAGTGTGATCAAATTGTATGAAGTATAGCAGCCAGTGACTGTTGCTTAAGCGTTCGCAATATTAAAGTAATACATATGCTTACCTTGATTTTTGACATTTCTAGCTACTGTAGCCAGCTAAGTGTGTGTTGGGTATAATCGTGCGATTGGTATAACATGCAGCAAAAGTTGAATACATCATCCCTTATTGTAAGAAATGCTACAAAAAACTAAGCGTAAACAAGATACAAAGCTGGAAGATGTATAGATACATTTTTGTTTGGTATGATTTTGAAAATAATTCTCATTGAGTTCAGTCTTGCTGATGTTCAAATAGTTGGCATAGAGCGGTAGAAAGCATACTTACCTGGCGTAGGGGTTACCGTGATCAAGAAGGCGGTTCCCCCGAAGCGAGGCTTGGCCATTGCACTACGGTTGAGTTGACCTTTGCGATTATTCCTAATGCGAATAACTCGTGCGTGTAATTTTTGATAGTCGGGAATGGCGTTCGCGCCGTGTCGGATAAATAATACATTCAATAAGTTAGCATATTCTTTGCGGGTACAAGAGCAGTATTATGATCTAGTATTCTAGATTATTTTTAACAGTTCAATTTTAACTTTAACAGTTTGGGATGCTAAATGTGGATATTTGGATTTCAGTAGAAGTAATGTTTTGTATAATATCGTAAAGCAATGCATTTCTGTTTTTCGTGCCGTTAAATCAAATTAAATAGTAGGTTTTGTGTACTGATTTTGTCTTGTAGTCTGAGTACTTCAGTTATTATTTTGTGCAACTTTTGTTTTTTTTTGAAACTACTACAACTAAATAAAATTTGAACTTTTTGATTGTAATCTTTTTCTCACATTTTCTATGAGTAGTGCTTAAATTAATTAATTAATTAATTCAATTATTTCTCACATTTTATATACAGTAATATTTTTTTTGCAATTATTTAACTTTAAAAACTTAATTGTGGTTGTGGTTTACTAAAAAGGATATTATTATTATATTAGGATATTAGAATATTAAATACATGTATGTATAAAATAAATATTTCAGTTTCAACATTGAGCTCTTTGTGCTTTCATAATAAAGTTTCCTAATTTGTGTGGTATATTTCCATTAAAGATATATTTTTCTAAAATTTTATACTTTTGAGCGGAATTCTCGATATTCACGATTAATTAATTCTTACTTCTGCTTGATAATTGCACATCATAAATTATTTGTTTTAAAATAAGTTGAAATGAGTTTGTCTGCAAAGTTAAACTAGCATTGTAAAATTAAGTCCCTTGAGTTTGTCAAGAATTGCAATTAAATGAAAAATTTGAGGTTGGTCTTAAATAATTTTAAATTATCTATCTTTTATACTATTTTAATTAAAATGTTCACGCTCTACGTATTTCTTGGGAAGTAACTTTTTTTAATTCAGAGGTCATTTCTTTTGAATTTTTAGTCGAATTAAAATGTTTAAATTCAGTTTCTTGTTCTGCACATATTAACTTAAAAAGTCTTTAATTCCTTTTAAGTGAGCGATGTTACTATTATTAGGTGCAATTAACAAAAACACTTTAATTCATATTTTAATACATTAATAATTTTAATATAAAAACAATTGCTTAAATATTTTATTTTCTAATAATTATAACTAAATAGAGTTATATTTGCGTGAACTACACATTTGTTATGTAAATGATTAAGAAATATTAAGTGCTTGTAAATAGTATATAACGAAAAAAAGACGTTTCTAGTTAAAGTAGTTCCGTCCATCTATTTAACCGTACATTTCGAATTTTTTAAATAGTCCGCATATTAGTATGTGAAGAAATAACTCGAGCAGGATTTTTAAAGTATTCGATCAATTTTATGTAAAACAAATATCCAAATAGTTCGAACTATTTTTACTAGTTGATTTGAAATGGAATATATGTGGAGTTAGGTGGAGTATCAAATTATTTGAATATTACTAACGATTTATTTCTTGGGTGCCGCCAAGCACCCAGAAAATTAAAGGTAGAAGAACAAGAAATAGAATGGGCTGATACTCTCAAATACCTAGGCATAACCTTTGATAACAAGTACTCCTGGAAAGCACATTTCAAGTCCAAACGAGCTCAAGCTGCCCGAATATTACACTCCCTTCACCCGCTCATCAGCAGTAAAAAGCTCAACATAAAGAATAGAGTTAGCATATTTAAGCAGATTATTAAACCAGGAATACTCAATGGCGGTATTGCGTTTTGCCAAGCGCCAAACTCAACTTTAAAAATTCTTCAAAGAGGGCAAAATATTGCCTTAAGAAAACTGGTTAACGCCCCATGGTACGTAAGAGGAGCGGATATCCACAGAGATCTGAGAGTCGATTCAGTCGAAAAAACATTAAAGATCGTGCTCTGAAACTGTTCAATTAAATTGACAGTCACAATAATCCAACACTCAGCATCCTAAAAATACAGCGAAATTTGATAAACACAGGCAGATACAAAGACATCAGATCCATCATATTATAAAACCCCGTATTCTGTTATTCTTAGTGTGACTTAAAACTGTCCACAGATAAAATAGAGTGCTGATTCACCAACTCAGACATCTGAATATCAAGAACTTTTAATAAATCCATGTAGTGAGAATTGAATATCAATGAATTTAAACGACAATATAAAATATTAATCCTTAAATTACTCATATATATTAGTATGTGCATTTTGTGCAGTAACATTCCTCGTTATACTTTTTTTGAAGCGAAAGCTTTTTTGTTTTAAATATTATAAAAAAATTTTTTCTTAAAATATTGAAATCATTGAATTATCCAAAAGTTAAGCATAAATCAATGATTATGTCATGTAGTAGTGATATTTATTATGGCATATGTTTATAATTTTTCGAGTACTTGACACCAGAACGCAAGCTTGCCAATGCAAACATAACAATTTTAATAATTTAGTACCAAACTTTAGGCATGAGCTTCTAGCCACACATAAACATATAAAGCCACAAAATTATGTTTGCCAGTGGTACTTGACATTTATGGAATAAGGATATTATAGCAGGATATCAGTATAACATAGATCAGCGGTCGTAATTAATAGAATATACATTTTTTTATTGTAATATCATCAGTGTTAAAGCATACATATATTTAAAGGTACACAAAAAATTTTAATTTTTATTTATAATTTTGTTCACACATATTTTAATTTTATTTTAATTTTACGAAAATTTAAAGCTAAGTAATTAAAATTTTAATTAAAATGGGATTGAAATCATATAATGTGATGTGCAAACACAAAATTTTGGTTCAGAAATTTTGTTGACTCATGACAAATTTCAAATTTGCAATTTGAAAGTAATGTATGTAAGTAATATTGTTAACACAACACTCCTGAAGCATTTGGGAATTATAACAGGTAGGAAATAAAAGGTAATTGAATTATAGCTCAAGAGTTTTAGTAGAGAGAAGCGAGAGGAGCTAAAATGAGGTTGTGAAAAGAATGTAGATAGAAATTGAGATAACGGAAGGCATAGTGATGTAAATGGAAGCAAGTATTTGGGAAAAAAGTAGATAATTGTAGGCGAATGTATCTAAACTCAGTAGAAGATATGATAACCACATATGATTTGTACTCAATTCTATATGTCGAAAAGATGAATGTGTGGATGGTTAACGACTTGTTGGATACATCGCGAAATAGGTGGCTTATTTGCTTTAGGTCAATGCATAGCTTTGGGCTATATACTGAATCACGAAGAAGATAGTCAAAATAGTTTTTGTTAAGTTCAGGCAAAATACGTTGGTTTTATTAGTGTTTTTTTTTTATTTTTGACCATTAAGCATTATTTATAATGGTTCGCTGTAATAACACATATATTACGAATATCGACGTATTAATTAGAGTATATTGATGGCGTCGCAATATGTAATTCTATGTGATTATTTTGGGAAATACCTCCCCAAACTATCACTTTTCCGTCACCATACTGCACGAAGCTAACTGATGTTTACTACTTAGGTTTGTTAGTAAAGGTTTTCTACTGACACTACTTTTTCAAAACACCGCCTAGGTGTTTAAAATATTATTTAAACTACAGATTATTTTAATTATTCTGTGCTCTCCATACATTATTTCTACCAATTCAAAATCCCCAAGCGTATTAAGGTTGAAGTACATTATTTTAAACGATTTTAAGCACAGTACTGTATATATTAAATAATTTTAATATTTTAAATAACTATTAATGCAATATACAGTAGAAGCTCACAAATCAGAACACTCACGAATTCAAATACATTTGAATTACGAATTTGAATACATTGTATGCACTAAAAGCTCTTAAATTATAAATTTTGGTTCTAATTTTTGGGTGAATTCTCGTTTCTGTTTTTTTTTTAATTTTCGCATAAATAAATAAGTGTTATAGTTCGTACCTTGTTTTAAAGAAAAACAAAAAAAAAGGTTGAAATGCAAGTTCAAGTCGGATCTGAATATGAGTTCAATATCGAAATGATACTTCAAATAACATTGAAGATGTCCCATTCTGAAGCAATTGAAAGCGTTAATATCTTAATAAATTGGTGCAAAAAGATTGACTCGTTGCCTACTGATCACGAGATCAATCTTTCAACTCTCCGTAGTGATAATATTGTTAAAAATTTGATTAAGCCTAAAGCATAAATAAACATTACTCAATATATTATACAATAATACTTCATAAGTATTGATTTCAACTGTAAAATAAAATTTTTATGTAGAGTTTTATTTTTTTAATTATTTTTTATAGAAATTAAAAAAAGTAGAGAAATTAGAACTTTTCGGAAATTCGAACTACCCGAAAAAACAAATGGATCTAATTTGTGAGTTTCTACTGTAATTGTAAAACTTACATGGCAATATATTACGAAATAAGACATTATTTACATGAATGACATTAAAACCTTCAGCTGTATTTTAAATTAATTATACCTATATAGTTTAATTTGTATTATTTGCTAAATAAAAAAATGTCTGAGAATATATTTTTATTTTCACTGATAATTTTACTGAATAATTACTTAAAATTTTAATTCAGTAAGGAAAAAGTATGGAATAAAAGCTTAATCATTATTTCAACTGCATCCTTTTATTGTTGGAATCAATAATATCAATTGATGGATTTTCATACGTTGTGTTGTTGAAGGTTAATCAATAAGAAATATTTCAATTAAAGAATTTTACAATCTGAACAATTTTTCTTAATTTTAACATACATATGTATACTACTTTTGGGTATTCCATTTATTAACAATATCCACTTCATTGTGAAAATACTTGTATATATGTTGGTATGTGGTTTACCGCAATGAGTTTTACTTTTTCCAGTTTGATGAATTTCTCTGAAAATATAGTTTTATTTTTAAACTTTGTAAGTGAAAAAACAGTAATTTTACTAATACTGAATACTGAATTTAATTTTTTGAATCTACTTTATATTAAAAATTATACGAGTATTATGCATAACTTTAAGTTTATATTGATTTGTTAAGAGCTTAAATAAAATAAACGAAACGCACGTATATTGTGCGAAAAGGTATCAAAAATCAAAATGTTACTTTACTCAAATTCAATTTAAAAAATATGGTGTGAAAACTTAAAAGTGGTTGGTTTTTTTTTGTTTTAAACAATAAAAAAGAAAAGTATTTACCTTCCATCAAAACAAACTTTTAACCACACTTTTGAGACGCAGCTGAAAATATCTGCTGCCGAAGTATTAACATCATCATATACGAAAATTTCAATGAAATTGTTTTCAAAGCTTATACGCGGGAGATTTCAAATACTGACATACAAAACATTGTTATTTGTTTATTCATATATATATATATATTTGTTCACCAATGTTGTGTATTTAGCATGTAATTCTAAGAATGAAGTAGTTAGCTAAAGATTGTAATTTGATACTGCCAAGAATATGGAAAATAATTAAATATTGTAATTTGAACTTAAAATGCAATGCAATTCTTGCAATTATTTTAATCTATTGTGTAATTTAGTATCTTTTATTATTTGCTTCCTTTGGTTCAAATAACAAATTCGAGTTTAATATGCAGCAATAAGTTTGAAAAGTTTTGAATAACTTTTAATTGAATTCGAATTGAATTTAAAGTTAAAATTTATTTTTACAGATGAGTTTACAATGTTATTTTATTTTTAAATGTAAATACAAAACGATATTTTATTACAAAGCTTAAATGAATTATTTTGCATAACTTATTTACTCAAATTTATTAAACAAAAGAGAAATCTATATTTATATACTGATAAGGAATTTTTATATCCTTATGTTCTTTAATAAATTTGTGATAATATAATTTCCGCTTAAACTGTGGGAGTCGTTACGATTTACACATTTTATTTAGCAATATTTGCTTTGTCATTGATGGCTTCCGACACATTCTGATGTATTTTTGAACTACAGTGAGCCGTTCATATCCGCTGCCTTAATTTCTTCATATAAATCACTAATATTTATTGTTGTAATTTGCCAATTGTGTTAGGACTTACGCGAGCGACTCGAGCGACTTATATTTGTATCGTTAATGATGAATTGCACAATTTTTTGATGCTTTCTATTAATCATTTCTTTTTAAATTAGCCCTTTTTTATGCTGATATTATATCTTACAAATTTTGGAGCATTTTATATTGTTTAAAATAAAAAAAGTATCGATGCTTGAATACTCTTTATACAAGTTTATTTGTGAATTAATTAATTAAAGGCTTTTAGATCAGGACTGTTTCCATGAAATTAGTGAAAAACATAAAACAAAAATTTGTATTAGCGAAATAATACTATAAAATTTTGAATTTATGTATCGACCCGTTTTTTTTTGAAATGGTTTATATATATTTTTTATCCGCCTATAGGTCACATTTTGTTAAATAACTCAAAATAAAATTCAACATTAATATCGCCTCTCCTTTAGAGTCATCATCAGAATCACGATCTAACATAAATTAATATAACTAAAACTATATCTACGTCATCTATTTCTTATTCTATTGTCTATATTCCAACTAATAACACTAAATACTAATACTCAATAACAAATTTGGTGAGAGCTTATAACAAAGTTTTTTGTCCTATGAACTTAACTTAAGTGCCACATATCGTACTATCTTTTATTAGTAGTATGTTTGTTTAAAGTATTCGTTACTCAAATAACAATGGATCTTTGCACATAGGTATTTGGAGTCATGCGACCATAAAAGTAATAGTGTCCTTACAAACCATTCTAGAAATATATATTGTCTAAAGACGCCATAGTCAGACACTGGAGCCAGCAGTATACATAAATTTAAAAGCTCGAATGGTACAGTGGAGACCGAAAACAATTTCAAGTGTCTGAAATGCTAGACAGAGCAATGTGAATAAAAATGAGAGAGCAAATGGACTTGCTAAGGTCAGCAGAATCTAGAGTAGAAATAATGAATTCAAAATAGTATGGATTTAATTAGTTTCTTCAAATGAAGACCATTGATGGAAGCTACGAGAATCACAATAATATTCTAGCGGGATATATTTAACATATGGGTAACAACGCAACAGCAAAGAGAATCTGTCAACTATTCGATTTGAAATAGAAAAAAAATAAATCAACAAAATGATTCGTTGATACACTAGAAGAAGTCCTGAGCTTTTATTTGTTGCTTTTATTTGCATTTTTTGTACAGTTCTTTGTATTTAATTAATATACGAATAATTGAATTCCTTTTACAAACATATGACTAATTTATTTAAACATATTATCTAAAAGCAGATATGCAAATATATACACATTATTTGAAAAGTTAAATTTTTTTATTTATCTTATATATTCATTACTTTAACTTTACATCAGCGTCAACATATTTAATTTCATCAAAGGCTTTTCTTGCTTTCTTGAATTCTTCATTCATTGTTAGAAGATCCTTGACACGAGCATATTTACGCAAATCTTTACGATATAAAAATATGATGTCCTCTATCCGTACTCTTCTAGTGCGTCCGATATCCATTGCACGATGCGTTTTTTCAGTTATAAATTCAATTACTAAATCTTCTACTAAATCTACACTTTCAGTGTATGGATTTTTATCATCTCCAAATCCATACATCATGCAGCGCAGTTCTTTATCAAAAAGTCGCTTACGACCGTGGCTTGTTGCAAGAAACTGTTCTCCACCTAATTCATCTTCGTCAAACTAAATTCAAATAATTTATATATGTAATTTATTAATATGCTAAAACAACTTACATCCGCTTGCCCAAAATTCATTCCCATAGTCGAGTTCGTAGCCATTTCTAACATCAACGTTATAGTTTTGTTATTATCGCGTTTTGATTAAAACAAAATATAAATAGATTAGGTGTTGCCAATAAAAAATATTTTACTAATCTACTACTATTTGCAAGTTTTTCCAAACGTCAAACGTTTACATTATCGTTTCGGGTTTAATTTTTGACAATAGTTAATTTTTTTTATTATATTGATGAGCATCAGCTGGAAACGTTATCATGAAAACCTGTGTTATTATATATAAATATATATTAAAAAATTTATTGTTTGTTAAAAATATTATATAAATGGAACAAAAATGTATAATATTTACAGAATTTTAAAAAGCATTACGATTAATGTATAAAAATAGGATTTCTAATGCGTAATTTTTAAATAATACGCAAAAAAAATTGGCTAATGTTGATATTTTGAAAAACGTTATTTTTAGAAAAATATAGAAACGATACCAATTTGCATTGCATACTCCTAATAGTGAAATAATGAAGCCATCATTCACTACGTTTACGCGAGCCTTAAAAGTTGTTTTAAGGCTCTTAAAATCGATTTTAAGATCGCGTAAACACCCTAAATTGAATTTTGCTTAAAAGCACTTTTAGCTTACTAAAAGTAGTTTAACATCACTTTTAGTAAGAAATGTCACTTTTACGCTTTGCGTAAACACCTTAAAAGCAGTTTAAGGTTTGAATTGTCAGCTGTTAACAGTGAATAGGTGCAAATAATTTGAATTTTATTACAAATAACACTAACTAAAAATATGGAGAAAAGGAAAATAAAAAGAAAAAATTGGATGAAAGAGGAGAAAGAATGCTTAATTAAAATATTTGCAGAAAAACAAATAATTAAATTGTTATTTTTTATTCTCTATTTGAAAATCTTTTTATTTTTTATTCTCTATTTGAAAAAATATTTCAATTTAATATTAAATTTATTATTTTCAATTATTTAAATTTGTTATTAAGCTTAAATTGTTATAAATATATTATATTAATATATTATATTGTTAGTTATAAATAAACGTATAAATTAATTAATTAAAAATTGGTTTTTTCTACATTATTTTTTTAATTGCTTCTATGCAGAAGTGGAAATTTTCTCGCCAAGTACGCGCATATATGATCTCGCATAAGATGTCCGGACGACGAATTTTGTCGATTGTACATCTGTTCAGGTTAAGGATATTCACTTTCACCGTGGATTCTTTCTACATCCCATGAGGAATTATAACGTTGTTTAGATATCTCCACAAAATTGTGAAGAATTCCGCACGCTATTATCACATGCGGCATATTGTAAACATCCAGGTCGCTCTTCTTATAAAGTATTCTCCATCTTCCTTTCAAGCGACCAAATGCTTGCTCCACAACAATTCGTGCTTGATTCAAATATAAGTTGAAGGATGTCTCTTCAACAGTTAACTCGTCCCTATAATTTTTCATAATCCAGTTACAAAGCGGATAAGCTGCATCACCAATAATATAATAAGGAAGTTTAAAAAGCATAGCTTCATTTGAGGCGTTGTAAATTCCGTCGATTTCCCTATGGCTTTCAGGAATTAATGTATTATGGTTTTTGTGTAGAGAACTGCCCCTAAGCACTGATGCATCGTGTGCACAGCCAGGATTTTGTGCTGTGATATTTTTAAATAAATATTGATCATCCACAATAGCTTGCACTGCAATGGAACTATAACCCTTTCTGTTACGAAAGTCTGCAGCACCGTCTTGTGGGGGTTTAATTGGCACATGAGTGCCGTCTATAACATCAGTAATATTTGGCAGTTTAAATTTTTGTTCAAATCTCGAGGCTATGCGTTCACATTCTGATGCATTTGGCCAGGATAATATTTTGCCGACTTGATTTTCAATTAAAACTTTACAGAAACTGTGAACACATAAGCAAACAGTACTTTTTGATACTCCAAATCCCTTTGCAGTTACACAGTATTCAGCACAAGAGGCAAGTTTGTAAACTGCAATAGCTATTTTCTTTTCAACAGACAACCCTTCAACAAAATCTACAAGCCTGAAAAATATTTGTCGATTCATTCGAAAATCAGCAATCCATTGTTCATCGTCATAGAACTGCAGAACTTCAACATCCCATCACTCCGAACTTCTCTTCCTTTTGCTAAAAGTTCTAATTCGTGGTGAAAGCTAAAAACAAAAATGCATTCTAAATATTTTATGAAAAACTTAATAAAACCACTTACATTGATTAAAGCCTCATTAGCGGAACATATTGCCATTTTATTAAAGAGCTGGAATCGCATTTCTCGTAATTTTGTAAATGTTCTACGGGATTTTTTTAAAATCTCCATTGTTGCTTTATTATTATTTTCTACAATTTTGGTTATAATATCTTTTTTTTGCAATAAAAGTAAAACAATTTGTAGTTTTACCATATTCATTTTTAAAATGCTTAAAATCAAAACTTATGTTTGCTGTTAAACAGCTGATTGATTGACAGTTACTTTAAAAGTGCTTTTAATTCTTGTGCGTAAACGCTCTAAGAACAAATTTTAAAATCAGTTTTAAAAGTGATTTTAAGACTCGCGTAAACGTAGTGATTAGTAATAAAGAACAAAAAATAGAGTAGTGCAATTTGGTGAAATTTAAAGTACAAGTCGAACTTCTAAACTCGTGAAATTTAAAGTTTTATAAAATGTTCACTTTTGACACGACCCTGCCAGTAAGGATACTGGATGTTAATTCGCTGAGTAGTGTCAATATCTTGACAAAACTCCTACATGTCGTGGTTAGTTAAAATATAATAGTCATCGCTAATTAAAAATTTTACGAATTTGGATGTGGTAAAGTACTAAAAATAGTATGAAGAACTTTTCTCTTAAAAACTCCCTGTACTGCATTATCTTACTGTGATATCTTCCATGCTTTTGTAATATATATTGATGAGCAATTATTATCGCGTAAGTTTTGTCGATCGAGAGAAAGCTCTAAAGAAAGTAATAGCTTACTGAGTCCTTACTGCTAAGTTTTTGAATTGTTTATTTAAGTTAATTAGTATTAAAATCGCTACTAAATTCAGGCAATAAAGATTTGTTAACATTTCCATAGGTTTTGCTTACCAAATTTTTTGTACGTAAAGTTTACAATAGATAATATTACTGTAAGGTTATCAAAACATCAATTAAGATGAATTTAGTATCTTCTGAAACTATTTTGTCATATCGTGTAAATAAAATTTTTCAGTTCCAACTTAAAAAGATGTGTAGTTAGAATTTATCCTCTATTAGCAATGGTAATTCTTTATCTGGTTTCTAGGCAGACGAACCGTTGTGTTTAGTTCGCCTCTACTTATGACAAAGCTTGTATTCTATAACATCTTACTCGTAACCAAACTGTATCTTACTCAACTTCATCCATCCATCTTAGTTTTTGGCGATCACTGTTTCAGGTTTTAGCTTATAACCCTAACTTGATGGGTTTTAGTGAATGATTTCATCGATTTTAATGACACACCTATTTTATTTAAATTTATAATATAGCTGTCTATATGTAGTTATAACGTTGTCGCTATTTTCTTGTGTAGTTATAAACACTTTTCAAATCACCTTTCAAATGCTTATTATCCATGAATATATAAGCCATGGTACAAAGAGTGTTTGGTATAGTTAGATAAGTTTTTTAAAATAAATTTCATTTACTCCCATGATTAGTCATTGTTATCCTCATTATTTACTGCAATTCACATTTGCTAAAGCTTTTTTTTACTTTAATCTATTTTTGCACTATTTTCAACTAAACCTGAAATTTAATAAATGAAAAACACTTTAATTTAATTAAACCACGTTAATTCAAATGAGCGCTGTAATGAAATAAACGTTGAGTGGTGCTTCAGAAGCACTGCTGTCATAAATAATCAATTTTAGCGAAGCTGTCATACCAGATTAAATTTCCGAATTTCTGCTAAACGTGGGCATATCATTCTCTAAAAGTTAGAAGATGTTGAAAAAAAGTTTTTTTTGCTTTCAACGTTTTCAGTCTGTTTTGGTTTTACTGAAAAAAAAAAATGCCTGTGTCATGTTTCAAAATGCAAACAAATTTTTTATAATATGGTTGGTATTATACATATGTACGTGAATACACTAAAATATATTATTACAGCATTAAAATGCGTAAAACGTTACTCTTGACAGGGTTTTATATAAGAAATCACGCTTTGATTAATGACCTGCTTTTACTTAAAGAAATACCACACATTTTGTTACACATTTCTTTTTTAACTTGCTTATTTAAGCTAATTTGTATTAAAATCTCTACTAGAATCAGGCAATAAAGATTTGTTAACATTTTCATGGTTTTTTTACCAAACTTTTTGCTAGTAATATAGGTAGCTAGATAGATAATTTCACTCTAAGGTCATCAAAACATCAACTTAGATGAATCTAATATCTTGTAAAACAATTGTGTCACACCGTTCAATTTCAATTTAATAAGTCTTTCAGTTTCAGCTTAAAAAGACATGCAGTTAGAATTTGTTATTTATACAAATTTAATATTTTCAATCTATTTCAATTTAAACTAAACACTGCTAATTTAACTCTAAGTTAAATTTTTCCACTCAATTAAATTCCTTTTTACAGTAAGTAATTTATGTAAAACTCTCACCAACTGCAAAACTTTTAAAGTTACAAAGTAACAATTTTTTATTGAAATTAAGTAAACGTGACAAAATTATATATTCATTTGGGACTGTAGGCATTTTAAAGTTTTAATCTAAATTTAATAACTTAATTAACATATTTTACTCACCAAATAGGACGGAGGGAAAGTTTGTCGTTGGCAGTTGATGTAAATTTTCATTAAATTGGTTTTTAAACAATTTGTAATCATAACAAAACTTATTTTTAACTCACTGAATTTGCTTTAAATATTTTTATTAATTTAATAAAATATTATTTCCTTATTTACGCTTAGAATTAGTATATAAAATAAGTTTAAAGTACAGCACCTAGAGTTGTCATCTAGACAAAACGACACAGGTTTTACTTACTGTTACTATTTCTTATTTGTAATATATTAATTTATAACTATTAAAATAAAATATGAGAATTATTGTTGTCATCTCTTATTGATAGTTATATATTTTGTATAAAAGAAATTCT